ATAACAAAAGTGCTTATTCGTCTCGGTATCTTTTCAAAAGGGATATTACGCTAATAAACATTTTCTTTTCCGTACTAATCAAAACAACCTTTCTGTTGACAAAATCACTATTTTTGTTCACACAGATTTCTGGCCAATTCTTCACATCAGGTAAAAGTTTGGAAATCCCATCCAAATTCAAACCAAAGTGAAAAAAGGAGTTAAAAATTACCTTAATTTAAGAAATAAGCTAAATGAATTCATCCCTACCCCAAAAATATTTTAACAGAACAGTGCTGGAGAATACAGCCCTATAAAGGATTAAAAAGGTTTACTAGTTGCTAAAAAATAACAAAACATTAAACTGCAGTTTTATTTAATAAAAGAAACAACCGATATCAACTGAATTTTCATCGAAATTTCAGACTATTACAAAGTAAGAATTATGCAAAGCATAAGTAACAATTAACTAACAGAAACTCATTAAACTAACCATAGCACTGATAACAAAAGCACTTACAACAGTGAGGAAACTGTTCAAAAAATAACATGAGCGATTCCTATTCAAAATTACAAAAAAAGTAAAAAAAATGTTTCTATAGGACTTCTCAATATTTTTTTATTCTATTTTATTTTAGAGTCATAGCTTTCGAATTCAAAGTTATCAAAACAAATAAAAATAAAAATCAAATGCATTGGTGCACACTTACATGTGAGCATGTGTTTTGGATTGTCGGCAGCAAGTAAGGCGACAATTCTTAATTACCCATCATCCTATAGAACTAGAATCTTTTTGACTGTCATTTTCGAATTGACAATTCTTGTAAGTAATTCTCGCCTACTTATCTTCATTAAGTTAAGAATTTAAGTAAAAGTACTTGTTTCTGTGAATAATATCTCATTATTAATTAATATTCTCAGTGCTCTTTTAAATACGCCAAAGAAAATACTTCAAAGTATTTTTTCATTCAATTTGGCCATATTAAGAGCTATTATGTACGTAATTATTAATGACCTATTTTTAAAGAAAACAAATACACATTGTCAAGAAAGCTACTAGCTAGCTAATATGAGAATTTGTTGCTAGTTTAAATCTTAATTTTTCCCAGAAATTAACAAAAAAATGATTGAAAATTGTAGAATTTCTAGCATTGTTTGTTCGAGTTAAAACACAATTTTGTTAGTTAGAATTTCATTTTATATGATTTTTTTTTGTCATATGACAATCATAACTATATTTCGATCATAACGAAAATCTTTTAAAATAACAAATTTATATTATGCTCAGTATTCTATTTGGCTGCTGCAATGGAGTGTGAAAATATCAGTAACTAACAAATCAAACACACTTCTGTACTGCTGTAAGAATGCACTTTAATACAAAATCCCTCTATTTACGCTTTTACCTCAATTTGCGCTATTAGTTTCATATTTTGCAATCTGGCAATCTTGTTATGAAAATATTTTAAATCATTCTTGAAAAATTTCTCGTTCATGTAAGTTCGCTACTGGCTTTAAAGATTTCCTTTCATGTTTTGTTCTGCTTTTTCTTTATATTTTCTTTTCTGTTTTTACGTGATAATTTTACTTAATGCGTTCTATTTTATTTGTTGTTAATTATTTTGAGTGGTTCTCACACTATTGTATTGATATAATTTGCTTTGGCTGTATTGAAGCAATATTAGAAAGCACTCTTTTTTACGGATACAATCGTGTGAGCTGATGAAAAGATTTTATCTTTTATTTTCCGGATTTTTATTAATTTTTTTTGATGTTTTTCTTCCGGTTTCTTGTTATTTTTTTCATTGTTCTGTAATTTTTTCCATGTTTTCTCTTCGTTTTGAAGTAAATTTATTTGTCTACTAAATTTCAAAAAAAAGAAGAAAAAAAAATTAAAATTTTAATGCAATTGAATCAATGCATGCAATTAAATATTTCGTTTTAACTCACATTAAGGGTCACGTGATTTATTTTTCCAGAAGATAAACGATTAACAATGGTTGGAGTTAAAGATATTTTCCCATCATACTCGCCATGCATTTTTCCATACATATCTTTGCGATTTCTCGAGTTTACGATTTGAAACAGATATGGAAAGATTATAGAATCCGCGCAGCAAAACAAATCAAGAATCCAAAACTAAAGCGGCTGTGAAGAAAATAATGTCCCTTTTATAAAAGGTAGAGAAACATCAGAATTTTCAGACTCATTTTGTAATGGGAAGAGAAAATTTAAGAAAAAATATATTTCTGTTAAAAAAAGTGGCTCATTTTCAGGATTTGTAGCATTCAAAAAATAATGAGTAGTCCCAAAAAGTAGCGAGGACATTTGTAGCCTGATCTGGCGCCTTGTCTTGGCAGTTGGCGTGATAAAGTAGCATTATGGGATAATTTCCTCTTTTATTTTATTCTTATTTCAAGTCTATGGCCAGTTTATCTATTTTGTTTCAATTATAGTTTAGATTGTATTGGTATATTCTAATTTTTTTTTTAAAATTAGTTTTGAAGCTTTCTCTTTCGGTTTTAATTTTCTTTGTTAAAAGTGATTTATTTCGCTTAATCACAGCTGATGAAAAGTTAACAATCTTCTAGTTTATATTTTCGCTTTATTATCCTTATTAATAGTATACCATTTTACTCTATTTGATTATATTGCACTTAAAACCAACTTGTTAGTTTTTATTTCGTTTTCAATCATTAACTGCTAAGAATTTCGTTATCTATTTATTATGTTAAATAGTCGTAATTCAAAATAGTGATTAATTATTTAGTTTATTTAAGTATTTATTTTGCCTATAATTATAGTTTTTAATAGTTTATATCATGGTGCGTAGCTTTTTTAAAAAGTGCTTATTTTCGATTTTCGTTTCTTAAAAGCCCTTAAAGGTGCTTTTTTCACTGGGTGTTTTTAAAAAGTACTTTATTTTTTTTTCTTTCGAAAAGGAGTTTTTTTTTCTTTACTATGCCTATTTGCGCCATGTTTTATGCAAAAGCGTGCTTTTCACATTGTTCCATTCAGCGTTTTCACAATTCATTCCACCACAATCCATTTCGGCGTACCGTCGGTCTGTAGCGTATGAAAGCGCTAATCATTTTACAGTTTTGAAGAAATAATTGTGAGTCCGCATGTGCGTATAGTGAGCTGGATTCGATGAGATTCTTGCTCACTCGTGTGCAATTCTGTTGCATTTTGCAAGATTTTCTCAATTTCAGGCTTCATATTCCACCCTCTGATATCGAACTGAAAAATCTCTTGATCATTTTACAATAGCTAATAAAATCAAAAAAAAGAGTTCTTTGTCAGAATTAAGTTATTTTATCTTGATCATGTAAAGTCTTAGAAAATTATTTTGCATTTTGTAAATGTATATAGTGCTTAAAAAAATATTTTGAGTTCTTATTTTTTGCTGAAAAATTTGGCTACGCCACCTGAAGAATATTTAAAAAAAATTTTCGTTTCACTCAAACTAATTAGAATTATTTTAGTTTATTTAGAGTATTTTGTTTTACTTCATTTTCACTTACTAAACAGTTGTCGGAGACACGACATGGTTTATGTATGAAATTGTCGGACAAAAAAGCCTTAAAATTATATTAATTGTTTTTTCTTGTACCAAAGCTTTTTAAATTTAAGATTCAAATTTCCACTTAGATTTCACTTACAGTTTGAATTAAAGCAACTTGCTATAATAATGCTTTTAATTTCTATTTTGTTTTCAATTTCGATAGTTAAGATTGCAGAAATTTATTACCTTTGATCATTGTTTATTTAAAGCGAGGCTCTTTTGGAATTTTGTTTTCATACCTGGTAATTAAGATTGTATTTAGTTATTCTATTTGAGGATGAGTAGAAATTCGAAAATGGTAGTTTATGATTAGTTTGACTTAAATATATTCTTAATTTAAAATGTAGTTAATTTACATTTCTCTTTCGGTTTAGTAAACTTTTAATATTAATTTCAGGCAGTTTCACATCATAAAGTAAAAAATATTGCAATTATTTTTTTTATCGATTATATTTTATTATATCGTTTTCATTTCTAATAATTAAAATTATACTTAATTGTTCCATTTGCTAATAGTTGAGTTTGTATTTGCAAGTTTAAATAATTATTTTCGATTTAAATTCAATTAATTCTAATTATAAAAAATAGTATAAGGACTTTTGGAACTTAAAAAGCATTTTAAATTTTTTACATTTCATTTTATAAAAGCATAAATTGTTATTATAAATATAAAATTATAGTTATAAAAGTACAAATGCATGTTTATGGGCTTAAATCGCAAAACATGAGATTATATATATTAAATTACGCTTATCTTATTCTGATTATCTGGTACTCGAATATCTTCGGGAACAAAATTTTTAATTTGAAAATTTTTTTATTTTTATTTTTGAGTGTATTATACACTAGAACATGATATAATTAAAAAAAATGTGTAAAAATTTAAAGAAAAAACATAAAAGGAAAAAACCACACTTATCAATTTAATAACCAAAATGTATGTTTTTTTTAAAATCATAACTATTTAAAAAGAATCCCATACAGTTTTAGAAAAAGAATACAAGCTCATAATTTATATAGATATATAAAAGCTATTTTAAAGGTAGTGGTCTGGTTTTTCAAAAAGTAAAAAAATAAAGTTAATCCTGATTTAAGCTCAAAAACATTGTTTATCCTTATAAACCAACTTTTTTTCTTTTTCTATTATTATTATTATTATTATTAGGAAAAAAGTGGTATAATATTTAACTTGAACACATTATTACTTTTGTTTTAAATATTTGGCTCATATTTTAAACTTTACTAAGTGTTTATGGTTTTTAATAACATTCACCATTTTGAAAATTTTCCCACATATCATTAACCAAAAAAAAAAAAAANAAAAAAAAAAAAAAAACGACTTAATATGTAAAAAAAAAAATCATTTTTTTAAATCTTAATACATATAAAGCTATTTAAGCAATCTAAGCTTTTTAAATATATATAATCTGGATATTTTCTTTCCTCCAGTACTTTAGAATGACGTCAGGAACTTATTTCCAACAAGTGGCCAAACTCGCAACCATGGATCTCAAACTCCAGGAAGATGACATTTCTACAGAAAAGCAATTAGAATCCTTAAGTAGTCATTCGCCACAACCACAGCACATCAGCAACAAGTTTTCCATCGATGACATCCTTTCCGGCAGCACAGGCAACAACAACCGCACCAATATACCCAATTTACCAACATCAGCCATTCTTCTTCGAGCGGCTGCCAGAGCCAATCGCATGAAAGAAGATACAAATTTACCATTTCCTAGACCACCAGTATGCGTGAGACCCACACCTGTAGCTTTTCATCCGAATCCTCTTTATCCCACCAGGACTGATGGAGCATCATTGACATTGAGTTATTTGGCTCCTGCTTTGGGATTAGAGTCTGGACCTCATCTTCAGCATCACACGCAAGGCGATGTTGCTCCTCATCATCCTGTTGGATCATCCTTTCCCAACTATGCTGTCACAACGGCTGCTTCAGCTCTTAGTAACTACGGCACATGGCTAGGTAGACCTCCATTTTTCACCTTATCAGGTAAGGGCTTGTATATTTTCACTAATTTTAAATGATATTTGAGATTCAGGTAAATGATAGACATAATCAACGAGGATATATATAATAAACATGAATGAGAAATAATAAACATACAAGGTTATATATTGACTCTCCTTAAATTTTGGGAGAGTCAGTATCCATAAAAATTAATTTATAAAAAATTAGATAATCTCCCATATTTTAGGGAGACTTTCTAATCTTTAAGCCATTTCTCAATTTCTGGGAATACTTTCGTATCATGATCTGCTGCGCCAACTCAATACCTCTACAATTGTGACGAAGCCAAATAGCTTTTAAACTTGTAAGTTTAAAAGCTATTTGGCGCCTCGAGTTTGCAATTTTAAATAAAGAAAACGAAAAAAAAAAAANCAAATTAAAAGGAAAAAAAAAACGTGTAGAGGTTCGCCCTGAGTTGGCTATGAGTTATACCCTTCAACTACCTTTGACCCCCTTCTGTGTTTCTCCCCACCCCCTTTAAGTTTCCTGCCGGTTGCTTTTTAACGCGTATAAGTTGAACAGTAACGTAATCATTTGTAACTTATGTTTAATTAATTTTAAAAATAATGTTTGATTGATAAACTTCTTTATTTTATGTACCCGTTTTTACTGAGATATTTGGATTTTTAATGGAAGAAAAATGCAATTTTTAAATACATATTAAAAACAAACACTTCATTTAAAATTGAAAACCCTACTAAAAACATATTTAATAGTTAAATAAATGTCAAGTCATTAGCTAGTACTTATTGGTTAGCAATGTGATTTGATAGACAGATCTGTACCCAATACATTTTATGTTGAACGCTTCAATTGACCCAAAACCTCAAAAGAAAATTATATATCAGTTGGTTATATTTCCAAAAAAGATGCAGTCTTAACAAGCAGCTGTTTTAAAATCACGCTTGAACTTCGTTACACTTTACATTATGTTCCACTAACATTTTATACGCTTAAAATGCTGTTAATATGCTTGTAACAGTTCAAAAATTTATTACACATTTCTTACCATTTCTAAACAATTGCTCTCGTCACACTACTTATTCACTTACTCATAAATAATCAATAGCAGGTGACAACATTTGAAGACCTTAAAACAATTAATTTTCAATACTCACTGCACAAATAGTACTGCCAATATATATTATAAGTATTTACATAACTGTATTTTATTATTAAGATATTTCAAATGTAATTGTCAGTGATAAAAATTTAATTGCAAAAAGTGATACTATTTACGCAACTCTCCTATGTTAAGTTTAAGTTTTATTCTAATAGAATAGGAAACTCAATCTGAGCAACCAAATCTGTGTTAATACGATTTTTTGCTTGGAAATTTTTTAATTTTTAATAGAAATATGATTAATGAAAAAAATAATTATTGCAAAACAATTGTGAGATTTGGTGAGCAAAGTAGCTATTTAGCTGAGTTCCGTAGTAAATAATAAAGTCGATTATTAAAAGTCTTATGTTTTTTTTATTGCTTTCACATTTTCATTTATAGATAATGGCCCAACTTTATATAAGCAATTTAAAGTATCTTGAATAGTTTTAATCGACATTAAATCTTAGTTATTAAGATTAAAAATTTATGAATGTGCGATTAATGCTCCTTAGCTTAAAATCACCTTACCTTTATTCAAAAGCAAACAGAACTGATAACCTAATAATTGAATAAATTTTTGATCTTTACATAATGTTTAGTAAAAATAATTGATAGTAAAAACAAATGCTATATTTATGATAGTTAAATTATCACCGAAAAATAATCTTCCAGAAAGGTATTCCTATTTCAGAAGCGAGGTTTAATTCAATGAAATTAGAAATTTACGATCATCAACCAGTTACATGAAATAGGGTTAATTAATTAGGATCCGCATGAAACTTTGTTGAATATTCAGTATCATTTATTTGGTCTATAAATTCACTCTTGAATGCATACATTAAAGTAACCACTCTTAATAATTTGCTTATGCGTTTCATTCAACACCTAGTTTCCTCTATAGCCAGTATTTATTTAATCGAATATTAAATTGGCTTAATCATATCAAAAGATCCAAAAACTGCCTTGCGAATTTTAATTCAGCGTGAGAAGGTGAGCTAAGCCTATTTCATTTATAACGTTTTGTAATCAATGTTTTGTATTTTGAGATAAAATAATTGAAATAGAGGTCGCGAAGAATTCTGAAATATTTTGTTACCATGTACTATTATGTCTGAAGTTGGAAATAAGCTTGTTTAAATTTCCAATTAGTTTTAGAGTAGTTAAATTGCAAAGTTGCTTTCTTTTTACGAAAGAATTCAAGCCATGCTCTAAATTCCTGATCAAATTACGGTGAAAAGTATCAAGACTTACCACAAAGCAGTTGATTGTTAAATCACTGAATCACTGCAACTATTACTGTAAGAATTGAGGTAAAAAATTTTGCTGATGATGCACCCAAGGAGCTAGTAACTTTCAACTTAAATTTGTGCGGAGTTTTTTTTTTACTGTGCACTCAACTGAATTGATTTTTTTATCCTATTTAATGCTATTATTATGAGTTTTAGATTTGAAATAAACTATCAGAAACGCGATGAATTAGAGGATAGAGTGTTCGCCTTCTTATGAGGTGAATCGGGTTCGAATCCCAGCTATGATGATCAATACGAATTCCGCATCCGGCTTGCACCGACCACAGTGCTGACGAGAAATATCCTCAGTGGTAGACGGATCATGGGTTAGAATCCCCTTGCCTCCAGTGTCACCATCGGAGGTTCTCTTGGTTTTCCTCTCCATGTAACGCATATGCGGGTTGGTTCCATCAAAAAGAATCCTCCAGGATGACAAATTTCTCCATGATGACAAATCCAGGAGATCCCTTGTCTTCTAGATTGGGTTCAAAACTACAAGGCAGTTGAACATTAGTAGTCGTAAACCCAAAAAATTGGGTCGCCTGTTTAACGACTGTTATAAGATAAAAATATAAAAAAATAAACTATCAAAGCGAACATAATTTCACCGGTTTTCGAGTGACACTGAACAGGGGGAGTTGACCTGAATTTAATTATTATAATCAAATGTAAAAGCTTTTGATCTTAAAGAAGAGTAAAGTCAAACAATGTAAACGGAACTAGTTCAGATCGTGAACATATCTTAAATGAACTGCGTAGGAATTAAGTAATGGAAATAATTAAAATAAATTTTTCCAATAAATATATTATTTAATATAAAAAATAATTTCCAGACTGTCCCCCGAAAGAAATAATTACCGGCGAAAATTACTTGATTGTAGTAAATCACGAGTTGGCTACGAGCAATAGCACCATGCCAAATGACACTGAATGCAGTTAATAAATATTTTGATGAGATAAACAAACAAACTGCAAAATCAGCGCAATATTCAAATAGCAGTCGAAATTGCAAAAGTAATTTATTAACGATACAAAATGAAACTTCTCATCTGCAATCTCCAAAATTACGACAATTTAAACAAAGAATCTGACCATGGGAAAAGCTTTCCAAGGAAATTATTTGTCTGGACTAGCAAAAGCGTTGAATTCTTTAAAATATTTGTTTATAGTTACTCCACAGTTCTCTAACAAATGTTTAATGACTTAACTCCAAGATATAGAATCCATTTGTTACGTAGCTCAACTGTTTAATTACAAACTTCTAAGCTCATCGCCACTTACGGCTAGAGGAGCCACTGTAACATTGAAGAGAAACCTCCGTAATGGGCCAGTTTATGGATTAAAGTTGCCAGACACAAGACTTTTCACTTAAAACTTTACTTCTGAATACAATTGACCATGGGTCATTTAATTATCTTACATGGGCGACTTAAAACTCATTAAACCTAAGCAACTCTCACGCAACTTTAAAACGGCTTCTGTGGTCCTGTTCTTGATATCCGAATCCGTTAAATGGCTTTATATCTAATAATTATTTTCATTTTCCTTCTCAGTCCTCGGAAAATGTTAATTCACTTAGTGCAGTGTGCCCTTAAATGCAGAGAAAAGTTGGTCACGCTATTCCCTCTGACGGCGAGTGAAATTGTTGCCCTTATAGGACTCTTATCTGTTTCACAAAATTCGTCCAAAGGTCACCTTAAATTTCGATAAAACTATTGGGCAGAGTTTGTTCTTATTTCCATTAGAGCTCGAAAGGTCCAAAAGCATATCTTGAAATATAATTTATTTACTTTACTAAAGTGTTGCTTAACAAATAGAATAATTTTTATTATAGTACTGCAAAAGTTGTATTCTTAACCATTGCATCACGTGCCTTAACTTTAATACTAATTACATTACTTGTTCTATTAATCATACCTATCATGAACAAATAGGATTAAATGTTAGAATAGTCTTATTTTTATAAACTAAGATCCTGTATTTGTGAAAAAACTCAAAAATTATATCGATCAAGAAGATGTAGTTTAACAACAAATTGAATTAAAACATCATCGACTCTGACAACATCTGATTTCGTGAAGGGTCCATTTTAAGAAAATTTTTTTTTTTTGAAGTGTCCGTTTTTACGATAAAACAATGTTCATAAAATAAGGGTTCTTTTACGGGCCCGAATTTCCCATGAAATGTCCCTTGAAGAAAAAAGAAACAGTCAGTATTTAAATTTGAAATGCCTAACAAATTGGAATTTATGAAAAAAAAATTTTCTTCGACCATATACACATCAGTTACTTCACTACAAAATGACATGAACGCTGGTCACGCTGCACGAAAAAATGAACTATATAAATTAATAAATTGAACCCAATTTATATTCTTAATTTAATTAGTTCATAGCAGAGCTCTATCTTGTTTTGAACTGTTCCATTTCTTTATTCATTTAAAAATTAATTTTTTTAACTTAGTTATATTTTCCAAATTTATTCAAAAATTTGTTTTATTTCTCATTTTTTATTGTTATTTTAATTTAATTTTTCAAAAATCATTTTATATCTGATTTCACCTTTAATTTTTTTTACATAAAATCTGTTTTAATAATTTATTTTTTTTTTAAATTTACTGGATTGTACGAATGAATTAAAAAATGAAAACCACTTTAAAAATGAAACTAATGAAAAAAGGAAAATAAAAATGTGTTTAAGATTGTAATCGAAATGAATAGTGTAAAGAATTTTAGTAAGCAGGACTTTTTTAATTTTCTTTTTCTCATACTATTAATTACAAAAGATTTTAAAATGAAACAATTTCATTGAATGAAAGATTTCAGCCAAATACCTATAGGCACATGATAAGCATGTGTGTTGGAGAAATATTTTTGGAGTTAAGCTAAAATCTCCCCCCCCCCCAAAAAAAAGACCCAGAATATGGTAAAATTTACCATGTCTCTGGCTCTTTGGGAGCACTAAAAAAAAAACTCGATAATTTTTACAACTACTTTGATATTGTTGGTAAAATGAACAATAAAATACAGTTTCATAATATGCGAGAAATGTGGTAAAATTTAACAATTTTATCATACCTTAGAGCAGGGGTCGCCAAACTTTTTTGATTATCGACCCCTATATAATTTTTCGAAATCTCCATCGACGTAATTTTCTGTTAATTAAAATAAAACTCTATTAGATACTGTGTTTGTACATTTATTTTATGATTTTAAACATTTATTAAAGTAATAGTACATTGTGTAACAATAGTTTTATGAAAAATATATTAATATTGAAATTTAAATACCTTATTATTAAATAATAAGTAATTATGCATAAGTAGATATAATAAGTAAAGTAACTAAAGATTTACTGCTTCTTGATCAATGAGATGGGTGTGCCTGGTGTTTTTTTGCAAGGTTCGCTATATTGGGTTCAAAATTGGTCAATTTTAATTTTCGTCAAAATTGGTCAATTTTGTAATTTTCGTAAAAAAATACAAAGTGTGCTATAGTTTTGTCGCGGGCTGTACTAATCCATATTATTAATGCTTACCTTCTTTTTTGTGCATTGATAATTAAAATTGATATCTAAACCAAACGAATGGTTTTATCGAAACAATAACTAATTATCCAAAACTATAAAAGTTTTAATAATGACACTGCAAATATTCAACACAGTTTGCAAAGATAGCTGAAACTGCGTATGATATTTGCATTTGTAACGTCAATGCTCGTCACACGTGACATTTGGACAAGCGCACATATGCATATGACTTATAAACTGCGCTGAGTTCGTGCCACTGCGCGGTGGTACGTAAATACTTGTTTCACCCCAATAAATATACGTTTATTAATTTATGTTTTATAAAGAAACTGATATTGAGTCAATTATAAAAAAAATTCACAAATTTTACATACTTAATTAGGTATGTGTGATTTGCGTATTGAGAACTGTTTTTTTTTCGACCCACAATCGACCCTTCCGATTCGGATCGACCCCCATTCGCCCCCTGTCTCAGATCGACCCCTGCTTTTGTTAAATAGACCCTTGGGGGTCTATATAGACCACTTTGGCGACCTCTGCCTTAGAGTATGGCATAAAAACCTTTTATTCGGTTAAATTTGCTCTTCAGTTTTGTATTTTTTACTAAATGTGTGGTAATAAGAACTATAATTTTGAAAAGCAGAAATTCCAGTAAACCATTACCATATTAATGGTTTGAATATCCCATATTCTGGATCAGTTTTTGGGAGAAATTTGCCGTTGTAAAGGACTTTATGATCTAATTAACCCGCATTTTGCGTTAAATTGAGAGGAAAACCTCCCACGGTTAGCCTGACGACAAGGGGACTCTAACCCATGATCTATCTACCACCAGGGATATTTTATGTCTTATGTGGTCGATGCGAGCCGGACACGGATCTCGTATCGACCAACCAACTCTTAGTTTCGAACCCGTTTCACCTCATTGGGAGGCAAGCGCTCTATCCCCTGACTCACTATGGCTCGAATGCATCTGTTTAAAAATATTTTCTTTGTTTCATATTTTTTTTTAATCGTTGACTTGAACAAAATTATATTTTAATAGCACCAAAACCTTCCGGAAGACGTCCTAGAAAACCAGGAGTAGAAAGGAAACCAAGACAAGCTTATAGTGCTAAACAATTAGAAAGACTGGAGTCTGAATTTAAGGTATCAAAATTTTTTTTTTTTAAATCGTGATACGGAGATAAGAATTATTTATTTAGTTTGTATTTATGAAGAGTGTTTTTTAAAATGTGAGGAAATATGATGCGAAAGTTCCAACTATTTTTAGTAATTATATTTTTAAATATATCTTTTATAATAACTTTTAAAAAAAATATTTTAATAAAACATGTGTTACTGATTAAAAGAAAAGTATAATGTTTTGATAATATCTATAACTATAATAAAGTATAATAACATCTATAGTATAATAACAGTAAAATATTACCACAAAATTTATACAGCATTTTCAAATTTAGAACAACTTAAACTGTGATTGTTTATTTCGAACTGTAAAAATTTTCGTTTTGGGAAGTGTTATTTATTTACAACTTGTGGAATTGATTCAATTGTTTTTCAATGTCTCTGTACTACTATGTTTTTCATTTAGTTTATTTTATCGATAAAAACAGTAAAAAAAGTAACTCATAATGGTATGAAATAAATAATCTCAAGAAACTAAGAGGTAAGATATTGCTTGATTACAAACTTCATTCGCGACAAAAAATATCCAATTTGGTAATAACAATCGTAATTTAGAATTTAGACTTAACAGGGGTTTGTCTAGGTTTTTCTGAGAGTTGTGAAAATTTAGACATAATTTGTGAAAAATTAAAATTTATATTTAAAAATCAACACAAAAATATTGATTTATTGTTTCTTAAGGGATACAAAAATGAAATTTTAAGAAAAAATATTTTGTGAAACTACCGTTTTTCCTAAAATTGAATTTGTGAAAGTACCGCTAAACGGTAGTAAATTCGCCCTGGACAGATCCTTGCTTAAGAGGACGCCATACCAAGGGAGAAGCTTTTCATTGCAAATTCTCTTTCAACTCTATGAGTTATTTAAAATTTAAATTATACTAAAAGTGAATTCAGACATATCTAGAGTAAGCTATAAAGTTTCAAATTCTGAAAAGAAATTTTAAAAAAATTAAAATAAATTATGAGGGGATAACTTAGGATAAAGCAACAAGGAATTCGTTCGCATTTTGATATTTTGTAATTTTTTTCAGCAACTGTAAATTCATGCCTTACCTAGGTTTGCCTGAACTCACTTTTTAAGTTTGAAATTAGATTTAAATTTTATTTAATTAAATTTTAATATGGAGGTGAAACAGAATTTGCGATAAAAAAATTTATCCCGCAATATAGCGTCCTTTAAGGAATACGATAGATATATCTATTATCAAGAATACGAGAAATCATTGTTGGAATCTATGGCATAAATTCAATTTCGATAAGTCAAAATTTTCACCACCCCTGTTACATCAACTCATCTTGATTGCCATGAAATCTTAGTTTATTCATATGAATGCTGATTCCATTTTTAACGGTATTAGTTCCTCACCACCTCTTCATAGCTCCTGGAAACGCATTTATAATGATTTTTCCTTCTTGGCTACTGTTTTTTTCTACTGTCGTTTTTCTAGTTTTGTTTCTCACCTTTATTTTATTCCATTTTTCGTTGACAACTTTAAGTTTTATAATTCAAATCACTTTCGTTTCTTCTCATTAACGCAGGCAAGTCTTAAAAATAGGCGCTTGTTCTTGAGGGCTTGAAACAAGTCGACCGTTATTAAATGCCAATTCCAATTTGTATATTTTAGAAGTGAATTAAGTTTTTAATGAAACAATAACTTAAATTGGTTTAGAGGTAACATACTATGCATTATGAAACTCGAATAATATTGATACAAATTTGCAATTAAATTTTTAGTGTGGCAAAAAATTGGTGAAATGCGTAATAAGTTTAAAGAATTGTTTAAAGTTTGCTTTATAAATTTTTTGAGAGGTTGAAACTTTGAACTTTTTGTAACCAAATATTCTGAAATTACTGAGAAAAAAATCTATACCCATGTTCTGATGATCTGGACAAAGCACTATATCCTCAGTGTCTAGTTTAGTTTTCTATCTTTACAGATGATAATTCATTGCAAAATACCATAGCACACCAAAATCAATACCAACAATGACTCGTCACATGAGAGAATATTTTTGGTTTCATATATCTTATCTTTTCTGTACGCTACTCACTCGATTCATTTCAAAAAAGTCAATTGGTGAACTATATACTGAAGTTATATAATTTAAAAAATTCCAGATCAAATTACGGTATAACGTACCGGCATTTTGCATCGTCCGTAAAGCAGTTTTACCCTAGAATATTATAAATACACAATTTTGCAGTAATATTTATTAATTTAGATTGATTCAGTGATTTTACGGTAACTATTGCTGCAAAAATCGCGGTGTATCAGATTTTTTAGTTCCGTAACATGCTCAAGTAAAAATAGATTTTACTGTTAAAAGTATTGGAACTCCACGTTAGTGCTTTCTACAGTTATTTGATCATAAATTTTTTGCTGTGTACTACTCCACACAGTACTAGACAAAATGTTCTATTTATATATATTTGTTATGGTTAATTTTGAACATTTGCTTTTAACTTTTTTATTCAAAATGTAAAATTTTTGAGCAATCCTCCAGTCTTATTTTTACTTTGGCCATTTTACTACCTGTGAAGTTAGAACAATACATTTTTACAATAATATAAGCACTTAAAAATTTTTTAATTTGTGCATATAAACTCATGAATGTAAAAATGGACTTCATTAACGTAAATTGCACTTTGTGAGCTAAATATTTTAAATATTATTATTATATAATTATAAAATATAAATCATAAATTCGTTGATGTAATATTAAAATACTCTTATAGAATTTACGACAAAAAAAATATGACCCTTATCAGTTAAAAGATCGTTAAAATCTCAATATTAATACTAAAGCTTGTGTTTATTATTTGTAGCATTAAGTAATAAGCATAGCATTGATGCAATTTATACATAGTTATAGCATTAAGTATAAATTGCATTAAGTAATAAGTACCTAATAAATCTACTAATTTAGATACATTTTGCAAGTATCGTGTTAATTAGTTTCACAATCTGTTTTAACGTATAAGTACCAAAAATTATGCATATTAGTCAACAAAATCCCTATTTTTACAAATTTGTGGGATTACTTGTAGTCTGCACAAAATTGATATTAGTCTACAAAATTTTTATTTCTTACAAATTTGCGGGATTACTTGTAGTAAACAATAATGATATATGTCTATAAAATCTCTATTTCATACAAATTTGCGGGATTACTCGCTGTTTTCACAAAAATGATATTAGTCTCCAAAATCTTTATTTCTTTTAAATTTTCAAGATTACTTGGTTTTGCAATTTCTTGCGTTTCTACAACGACATAAAACTTGAAAAATAAAGAAAATAAAAATTAAAAATTTAAACTGTTCAGAAAAAATTTTAAGTTTCCACTTTTATCTTCATTTTATTCTCTTCTATTTGAATTTTTTGAAAAATTTGCTCAGTTTAAGTGCATATACTGAACTTATTACTGTCGAGAAGAAATATTTAAACTATATATTTTATAGCAAGGTTTTAGTTACTTTTAACAATCTTTATAAATAAATTACCTAATCTTTTTTATTATTTTTCTTTCAGGTAGATAAGTATTTAAGTGTCAGTAAAAGAATGGAACTTTCAGCAGCTTTAAATTTAACAGAAGTACAAATCAAAACATGGTTCCAAAACAGAAGGTAATTTTACTCACTGTTTGAAACTGCAATTTTGAATTTTTATGATTTAAAATTCTGCTATTTAATATATCTGAATATTCTTTTATTTTTATTATTTTAATCCCAAAGTCTATATAATTCGGATAATCTTTATGATTTGAATACCATTCAATGAAATGCTTTATAAAAATTTATTAATTGAATCTGAGCCAGATTAAATTCTTTCTACTTTTAAAAATAAATAAATCTGCTATATATGAAGCAATGAATTAATTTTTATCCAACACATTAAATATAATTTATAATTCATTATGAATAATCTTAATTAAAAGCATTCTATAAATAATTTTTAAAATATTATGAATACATTATAATTATTATTTTCATAAATAATGAAAATTAAAATAAGCACTTTGTTTACATTTATCGTGAAAAAAATTCTAAGATAAAACTATCAGATGTCTTTTACTTAAATGAGATCAAGAGCTCTTTATCTAACAAAGAATTTATCTATTATATTAATAATATAGCTCTTATCTATCAAATAGTTTCTTAAACTGTGGGTCACGACCCTAACTGGGGTCGCGGATCCTGCAGTAGGAGTCAACATAAATTTTCTGCAATTTTGATTTTTTTTTTTTTACTTATAATAATTTTACAATTACCAAATATTTTTACACAAAGTATCTGAAAATAGAAAAAGACAATATCTTATACAATTTACCTATAAAGAAATTACCAAAGTATTTGTATTCATATTGTATTATAATTTGAAGTCTGTTACTTATATAAAATTTTGCCATAAAATTAAAGTTAATGACCTAAAACTACATTAGTATATTACAGTACAAGTGAAGAAACTAATCGTTTAATTAACACGTTTAATAGATTTACGCATGCTTATAGGATCTTATGAAATTTTCGTAAATATTATGGGGTCCCCACACCAAAAAGTTTAACACAAGCTATAAATTACGATTCATCCGGGGGGAAAAAACTCCAGAAACGAAAATAAATTTTTTAACTTTTAGTTTTAAATTTCATATAATATTATCATTTTTGAAATTATTTTCATGTTAAATAAAATATGCATTACAAGTTCATGTTTTAACTAAAATTTTCCTCACTAAATTTTTTTTTGCTAATTAAAAATAGGACAAAATGGAAGAAACAGTTGACAGCAAGGATGAAGATAGCCCAACGACAAGGATTGTGGCCAGCACACTATTTACCGTCAGCGCACGCATTCGCACCTTTTCTCAGTACTTCGTATTGCCAACTATCCTCAGCTGCCCTTGGCGACAACTTGGACATTGGCAGAACAGCTGTTGGCGACAACGGTCCTGCTCCCCCTGACTTAGACGACAACAAATCTTTGGACGATAAGTGAACATAGAATTTAAAAATCCATAAAGAGCAGCTTTCATGTTTGCATTCATCATATAAATATCGCTTTTTGATCATTTTTTTTTCATTTAAATCCTTTTGTGATCTAAATCATAAATGTAAAAATTTAAGGTCGTCTTTCTCTATATGGCAATGTTAGATTAAAACATTATTTTTAATCGGCAGAACTTTGACAGTTTTTCATTTTTCATGACCAGAAAAGTTTCTGAACTGGACAATAAAGGACAAATATACATTACCTCAATAATTAGGCTTCTATTTTTTTTAAAAGATTTGTCAAGATTTCAAAAAAATATATTTTGAAAACCTGGAAAAACAGTATGTTTCTGTACCTAAATACCCTAGCAACAAAATAACTTGGGTTCTCATTGGACCAATATTCAGGAATCTTGACTCAATAAGGGTTCAAAGAGCCGTTATTTTTCCTGCCCTATAAAGAATTGTCCGATTCACATGATTTCCAATATCGGCCCTATATACAAGTGTCAGATTCACCGGAAACTTTATATTCATTATTCAACCAAAGTAGGCCATTCTAGGACCAATATTAAAAAATTTACACACCCCAATGCTGGTCCCTTGGTGCATGTTCTTATAGGATCCATATTGAGCCAATTTTGAGTCCATATGGGGTCAGGGTAAAATTGTTGATTGGGAACTTACTTTTAGAAAATGGGAAATTAAAAGTTTATACATGGTGCTTCGTAACGATCGCCCATAATAACGCCTCTGAAGAATGAAGTTAAAATGTGCACCTGAGGATCACAAATTAATATTGAAGCAAGAAAAAACAAAAACGATATCAAAATTCTACGAACCACTAGTGAGGAAGGCGGTATGTAAAAATTCAATAATGTTATAGTATAGTGACTTTTTTCTGGCAATCAAATAGGTTTTATATATTCAATAGACCTGAAAATTTTTGTTTTCAGTTAGCAATCAGTCGCCGGTAAACTTTAAGGACTTAGTAACCATTTTTTCCGAGTCGGTGACCGATATTAACATGTCCTTTTCATTTAATAGCCACTTTTCGCAAAATTTTGTTGTTGTTGCTTGGATTCAATTTTATTTATTTATTATTTTTTTAAAGAATTCAAATTCGAAATAATCTACGGCTATAAAACATTAATTCAACAATATAAATATGAGGGAAGATTCAGTCAAGCACATTGACTTTATAGAACTTTATGCAAATATATTTAGGTGAGCGAAATACATTTAATGTTTACATTACAATTTTTTAATGAAATATTTGAATTATTAAAAAACTTTTTGAATCTCTTTCTACATTGATGTACTTTTTAAACGATTTTTCAAAAAAAGCTACGGGAAAAAGTGACCGGTTGTCTATTTAATTTAAGTCGCCACTTTTTTGTGGACTCGCTACCCGACGAGTGGTTATTTTCAGGTCTAGTATTCAATGCCGCATTCCTCTTTTCATTGTCTTTTTCCTCGCTTAAATAGGAATTGCGACACCAAGAGTGGCTTCAATATTATTAGGTATTAACAATAATTCTAATAATGTATATTAAGAGTGGCCATTACGGAACACTGTATGTATGATATTGGGAAAAGATAGACATTTTACTAAACAACGACACTTATTAATTTAACTTATTCAAATACGTAAAGCCATAATACGAAAAATCTCCTTTTGTGATTTTATTCTTGATGTTCTATTTGTCTGTAAAAAAAAAAAATAATAACCTCGAAAGATAACTGTGATAAGTATCAGTGTATAGATTTGCCATATATGTTGTAATAAAATTCACTCGTATTGAAGTGTTCGATAATTGTTTCATTTTTTAATGCAATTAAGTAGATTCGCCTATTTCGAATCTTAAATTGTATAGATTTTATACAAATTGCAACAAAAATAAAAGATGCTCTCTGAAATTTTCAAAATCTCATTATAAAGTATAATTTGTAATATACGGTTTTATTTTTTAAGAGCATTCCTGATAAAAAAAAATTATATTGAAACATTTTTTTTCAAACATTTTTTTAACCTAAACAGTAAATAAAATTTCCGTTTAAAACCTGCATATTACTTAATTAGTAACGAACGCAAGATTCCAATTTTCTAAAAATTTCCAAAATTTTTATGAATAAAATTCGTGAAATTTCCAGCAATTTACCTCTGCAATATTTTGGATTCAATCTATTATTTTGCTTTAGAATCAACAGTTAACCTTTTACCCGTATTTTATTAATTGTTTTTTTATGTTAAAATTTTTCTTCAACCGTAATGCTGCAATTCATTTTAACGTTACCTTATTATTCCTTAAAATATAAGAAGAAGAAAAAACTTGAAACTAAATATTTTAAATTTTAAAATTAAAAAATAATCAATCTTCTAGAAAGAAATCGAAGATTATGCAGCGGCTCCCCTCCCAACCGTCTCAATAGAGAAGACTAAACTGGACGGTTTTAATAAAATATTCTATTTTGAGCTATATTAATTTTCTTCTCTCTCTAAATAATTCTCAAAGAATTATAATTAAATAAAAGAAATTTAATATTTTATCATTTACACAACATATTTGAATGTTAGAACCAAGTTTTAATCAAGTGATTATATTTAATTTTCTGCTTTGAAACATACATTTTTGTACACAGAAAAAAAAAATTTGGTAAAATTATAGTACTATATAGTAGAATGACATTTCCATGATTCTGGTAATGAAACATAAATTTACGATAATTTAAACCATTCATTTGGTAGTTTTTCCATTCCTATATTAACGATTCACCGGGAATTCTGTTTTTTAAAATTATTTTCATATTATCACACATTTACCCAAAACTTAAAACTAAGTTTTACCGAATAAATGATTTTTATGTCATGCTCTAAGATATCATGATAAAACTACCAAATTTTATCACACATTATTAAACCATGTTTTGTTGTTAATTTTATCCAAATCATTACCAAAGCTCTCCAATAAAAATAACCGAGCGTTTTGGTATTCCCATAGAGGCAGAACCACAGTAAATTCCACCCTATTCTGATAGTATTATCTATACTTTTTTCCATTGTGTATAAATTACATGAATTGTTTTTCAAACAATAATAAGATACCGCTAATTTAACTAAGCAGATTACTTTTGGATTCATGAATTTATTTTTCATGATCCAAGGGAAAAAAACATAATTTAATCAAAATTTTTAATTTAAATAAAAAATGAAAATAGTATGCATAATATTTTGGTATTTAATATATTGAAACTATTTTTTAGGCTAATTTATAAAAACGGTGAAAATTTATCGCGCTACTCAAATAACTATAGAAATAATGTTTAGATTGATTAAAATTGCTGACGTATGCAACACGAAAATAGTTCAAATATCATTATTTGAGCCCTTATCGCTTTTTCTGACTATTTAAATGGATAAAAAAGTTTAAATTGCAGTATTAATAACAAAGCAACATGTAGGTGAATATATTAATTCAAAATAATATAGCTTATTTTTAGATTCCATAAACCAATTTTTACCTGTGAAAAAACAATTACAAAATACTATATTGCTATAATAGTTTTATTTTTGTTAAATAATAAAAATTTTAGTGCTGTGAGCCTATTTTATTATTTAATACAGAATTGAATTTTTTTTCATTGAATGATTATTAAATAATTAATACTTGAAAAAATTATTTATTGTTGTTATTTATGTTCTATAAAAATTTTATTAAATAAACTATTTTATTTGAAATTAAACTTGCGATTTTTTATGTTTCTTTGGTGTATATTATATAATCTTACTTTCGTGATAAAAAAATTCATATAAATATTTATACGTACAGTGCAATATAACTTCAAACGAAGTTACACCTGGCCATATGTGCATTGTTATTCAATATTTTACATACATTTCAATGCATATTGTATCATAGGTGATTTTACTATGCGATGTAAATTATGTTGGATCTGTATATATTGATAAATAAAATGTTTTTACTGTTATTGTCTAGTTTTATAACCCAAAAAAAGCGATACATGCAATTGAAACATTTTAATTTTAAAAATTAAAGCATTGTAAAAAAAATGCAAGCGACGTTTTTAATTAAATCATAAATCTTCTTTGTTAAGAACGCTGGCCTGCATAGTTTTTTGTTTTAAAATATCTTTTAAGGCTAATTTATAAGAAAAGTTAAACGCGCTACTTAATTAGCTAAGACATTGATATTTAAATTGAATAAAATTGCTTCTTTTGTTTGAATGTAAGGAAAGTGATACAAATATCAATATATTCCAATTGAGCTTTGGACCCTTCTTTAAACTTCCATAGTTTGCAAGTAATGAAAGTGGTACAAATATCAATATATTTCATTTGAGCCTTGATCTCTTTTTTTTTTTAAACTTCTATTGTTTGCATGCAACGAAAGTGGTACAAATATCAATATATTCTATTTAAACCTTGATCCCTTTTTTAAACTATTTGAATTTTTAAAAAAATTTAAATTGAATTTTTAGGAGCGTGCAAGAAACTATCAGACATCAATAATGTTATGTTTAAAATTTCTGATAAAACCAAGGGTCTGTTCGGACCCTTCACAAAATACCTTTTCATAAAAACCGACCTTTCACAAAATAATTTATCTTTTAATCGGACCCTTCATAAATTTGTCTATCTTCATTATTGTTTTGTTAATCGAATAAACCCTTCCCGGGAAGAAAAAAAAAAGAAAAACGGTTCAAAACGAAATAAGCTTTCCAAGTTTCCCTAATTTTAAATTCCAAATGTGGTATTCTAAGAAAATATTTCTACTTATACAAACATTGTGTGCACATTCTTATTGATATTAAATTACAATTTTTTTTTGTAAATAAATAATTGATCAATTCATAGAATTAATTAATAAAATATTATGCAAATAAAAATTAATTTCTGACAATTTTTTAAATAAAATATTATGAACTGTTTAAATTTACTTAATGCGTAACACATTAAAAATGATGTATAACAAAGTTGTGTTTTTTAAAATATGTCAATTGAAATTATTAAAAATGGGAAATTCCATTATTCGTCTGAATGAATATTCTGCTGTGTTGAGCGTTATAGGCTAAACACCAAATATTTGTATGTTGCATCTCTAATTTAGTAGCAGCAATTGTTGAGCAGAATCTTGCATCTATTTACAATTTAAAAACTTCTTGAAAAGGATTTTTGCAATAACAGGACCCTATTTGCACAAAAGCAGGATCCTGGTTGAAAGAATGTGACTTAAAGTTTATTTTATATTCACAAATTATGAGTAGTTTTTTCACAATTTTACAAAAACAGGACTTTTCACAAAATGTATGGACAGACCCCTGAAAACAGAATCGTCTGCAGTTTTATTTCTAGGAATGTCTAGTTGTTATAGAAACAATGGCTACTAATGAGAAAATCCTTTTTTAAACTTCTCTCCTGAACAATTTTTAGGATCGAGGGTGGAAATCGTCCCATTCTTTCGCTGTTCAAATTTGAGGATGGTGGAGCGAACGGTTTTGGAGTTATGAGACAGACACGCCGACAAACTCTCCATTTTATTATTATAGATTTATTTTTCCGTTATGCGCATATCAAATTAAATCTTTTAAAGGCTATAACGGGGAATTTATAACAGCCTTTGCATTAAAAATAAATAAAAACTAGTTTAAAGCAGTTACTTAATATTTATGATTTTCATATCAAAACTACAGCTGCTTTATCAAAGAGCTCTATGCGAATGAAACATACATTAATTTTTCAAAAAAAAAAACAGAACATGCAAACTGCTTAATTCTTTTAAGTTTATGCAACACAAAAATTTTCTTTGATGAATTGCATTCCATTCTCATCTAAGCCCAGCTCTTAACGTAGTGGTGCATCAACTAGTGCTATATCTGAAAAACAAAACACTTCTTAATTCCCAGCTGCAGTAAACATATAAATAGAAAGAAATGTAAATAAAAAGAACTTTTAACATTCAATACGTATTTTTAATACTAAAGGTCATGTCAGTTTTTGACAATAAGCATTTTCAATTCTCTCATTTGTTCGTTCTAAATATGCCATGAGTATCATGGATGCTAATGCAATATTTGACTATAGCTCTTTTTTGATAATTTTTTCTAGAAGTAAATCAACGTAGCCTACTTTATTTTGTGGTTGATTTACGTTTCTTAGCATATACACAGTAATTTACTTGAGAAATTTTTTTAGTTTATAACAAAAATTGAAGCTAATATTTGTGAAATATAGTATTTTCTATTACATTATTTCTGNCGCGAACTGCAGAAATATTCATTAGAGTTAAGCAAAAGTTTTTTAGTATTTTTTAATTGATAACAAAAATACATTTTAATATTTGATGGAAAAAAATTCGTTGAAAATTGCGCAAAATATGAACATTTAAAGTAATCATCCTTTCAAACTGCGCACACGCGGATAATAAAACAAATAAAAAAATTATATGCATATAATTTCGTTCTGATACTCCTTTTGTAACTTATGAAAAAGAAGTTAGATTTGAATTTTTCGAAAATTTAAAAGTTTTCGGGCAATTTACTTAGCAGTTTTTGTTAAGTTTGAAAGGTAAGGAATTTTCCTTAAATTTTGTTTTGAGCTGTTAAACAAGATTTATTAAAAATGACATTATTATAGAAGATTATTCCTATTGAAGTATGTTTTCTTTCATAAACTATTAAAAAAAATTTTATCTGGAGAATCATTGTAGGATATTAACATTTGTTGTTAAATTTTGTTCCATAACGCAAAATGAAATTTGTGGAAAACCCCTTACCCTTTAGAGCTTTCTTTAAAAAAGGGCAAAAGCTTCTTAGAAACTTATTACATTTTCAAGATATTCAATTCGAACATTTTTCATAAGTTATCGAATACCATTCACAACAAAAAAAATTTTGATTCTAGCTCATGCGAAATATGTAAGAAGTACTTTAAATGCTCATTTTAATTTTTAAAATTTTGAAATTATATTTTTGTTATTAATTCAAAATTTACACTAAAAATTTTACTGTCATAGTAAGAAAACTTAAGGCAAAAAAATTAGTTTTTCATAAAAAGGTCCATATCCGCATGAATACAATTATCCAATATAATAACGAAAGTACATACAAATACAAATTTTAAGCTTTTTTCTACATTATTATTCTTTTGGCATAAGGTGTTCAAAAACACTCCTTTCTCTTTTACTGTCGGCTCCTCAAACTTCTGAATGCTTTAAACTTTATAGATACATAAGAGAAGTATGACCTAAGCACCTTTAAATAATTCTTGAAGTATTTCTTGAGAAATTTGAAAAGGTTCCAAACTCAAATTCCTGAATACTTGATTGTAGGGTAGTATATGTAAATATATATTACCCTACACATACACACATATATATATGTAGTCTCGGAGTACTTTCAAAGTATTTCTGAAAAACTTCTGGCATAAGTTTGATAAAAAGGAGATTGAACTGGTTTTGAAAGCAAAAGTCTTAAGTAGAAAGTGAACATAAAAAAATGCTAACTTGATCCTTCAATGGCACAGAATGGCAATCCGCCTGAGCTCCACTTGCCATCATTACAAATGTATGCTCTTCTTGGAAGCTCTAGCTTGTCTTCATACGCATCACATTCTATATAGCACATAGCTGGCAACTTAGTTGTAGGGGTGTAACAATCGGCCACACCTCCGGAAACCAGTGATATAGTGCAATCTACGTAGGCTGTGAAAAAAGCAATTTAATTACTGTAGAGAAAAAAATATTACCATTTTACCATAATTGCAAATGCGAAGGCCTTTTTTTCTGATCGGGCAAATATTTATTTCCTTGCATGTACAGCGGAGCACCAATAATTCGAAAGTCGATTTACCGCATTGTCCAATTATCCGAATCGTTCAAAGACCATGTGCTTTTCCTACCTTCTTTTTGTTTTTCGCGAAAAAACTTCTAAGTTTTCAGAATAATTGAAAGGGATCAAAAAATGGCTTCTTTGGTCATTTGAAAACCTTGAAAAGAACTAGTTTCAAATAAGGAAAAAAGTTTCTGATAAAATTAAAAAAATTAAACCCGTAATTTGCGATATGATTTAATAGTACCATTTGCGATATGATAATACTACCATTGCCAATTCTGAGCCTAGAAAAAGTGTGATTGCTACAGTCTACATTTACTACAGTCATGTTTTAAATTTTTTTTAATGCAGTAACTCAAAAAAGCTCTTATTAATAAACATCGTTGCAGATGGGTATATATTATAGCCGCGAGGGCTAATCTGTCAATCACATGATTGGCAGAACGAGGGTTCGAATCCCAGCGTTGACTCCACAATATTTCCTCCATTCTTCAACACATTAAGAGTTTTCAGCGTCATGCACTCCCTAATTTATGACCCGTGGCAATTAGAATACGATATTCTCATTCATGCATAGATGGCAGCACCATAAAGCTGTTAAACTATTTCCAATTTCTAGTTAAATTTCGTTTCCGCAATTTTGAAACCATGCTAGTTGTAAATGATTAAGAAACCGTATAGTTTTGTTATCATGTTTTTTTAACCATACCAGCTGTAGACGATTTAGAAACCGTAATGGTAAAAAAGGTTCTTTACCGTAAACTTCACTGTTAGATGGGCAAACTGCTGACGGTTATTTTACTATAATTTTAGAAGGAAAATTCTTACATTGTATGCCACCTTTCTTTATTTTTTTCTTTTTCAAGAAAACATGAACCAGTGTCATAAAACAAATTACATGATAGGGATCTACATTCACCCATATTCAAAAGTATAGATGATTTATTGACCGAAACTCATGCGATACTAATATTTCAGTGTACAACTATATATACATACATTTTCAGGTGTAGAGATAATTATAATTAAATATCTTACGCTCGCATTCCTTAAATTTATGGGGCTTCCATACATTTTTCTTTCTGTCACAGCTCAAATTCACTTTCGACCCCACTTCTAAAGTATAGCCTTTAATACAAGTTTGGCTGCAAGATCTGTAAAAGTAATATTATGCTTTTTACGGTAAAAAGTTTTATTATATAAGTATATTAACTTCGTACCGGGCACTTTCGAACTTTGGCATTTATTATTTTAGAATAATATTACTTATTACGAATTAAATGTACTGTTTTTCATAATAAATAAATATATATATATATATATGCGTGTGTGTGTAATACAAAAATTATAAATACTTTTGTATTAATGAAAGCACTAAAACTCTTTTCATAAAACGTCTTTGGTAAAGAATATGTGTAGAGATATTCTATTTTGGGACTTCAAGGCTGAAAACATACCAATGAATAATAATTAGATATATATTTCAAAGGAGTTATTTTTAGAATCTTTCCCTCTTTCACTTCCATATTAGGAAGCATTAAATGATTTTCCTTAATGCGTAGGGTTGCAAGGTATGCGGCGATTGAGCCTTTTTACCTCATTTTCTGTTAGTATATAATGCAGAAGCAATGGTTTTTGCGTGACTCTTGCTGTATTATGTGTTCCATGTAAGATGTGCCGGAGCTAACCGGAGTTTTGTCCACCCCCCTCCCTTGTGGAGAGTATATATACACACACATTTCAATTTTTTTTCGTTCATTACAAAATTAAATGTAAAAGAAATAATAAATAACTTAAATAATTAGCAACTACTATTATAATTGAATGCAAAAAAATTTTAATCATTCCCTTAGTTTCGGAAATATGGCGAAATAAGCAAACGGCCGTTCTCCCGCTGAAACTATCGGGGTCTTATTATCCAGACTGCGGTTACTCCCCGTATAGGTCAAGAATCCAAATCAATCGGAAAAAAAATTATGTTTATTCCAAAAAAGTATGTTTTGTGTCTGAGTTCAGTTACTAAAAATATCGACTGCACTTATTTTAATCACAATTATCGTTAAATCAAAAATAATTAAAGTGTTTGGTTACACCACGCTCCATTGTGCATGAGTTCCATGTGGAAGGCACCCACTTATCAATTGTTAATTAATTATTGTTGACCATTATGTTGAGGAAGTAGACACAGAAGCAGCGTTTATCTAAAAAAAAAGGGGGGGGGAGGTATTTTTTAGGCATGATTTTCTTCTGGGAATGAATAGAAACCTTTTTCTGAATATTACTTTTTTTTTTATTTAAAAGAGTCCTAACACAGAGACATTTCTTTTAAATGCAGAATATATTAAGAAATAAAGTTTATGCCTTATTCTTTGCATGTTTCCAATTGTCAAAATCTGTAATCCTTAACACGTAATATTATAAGCTAATCACGTCTTAAGCGTTCGCATTCTGGGTGTCGCCAAGTAAAGCTTTCCAAGGTTGACGGTTTTTAGTCCAAATTCACTTAAATCCTTTTTTATTAAAATACTGTTACTTAGAACTTTCATCCACTGAGATTTTAAATTAATTATTTAATTTAAATTTAAATAAACTAATCGAGATTTAAAAACTTTGTAAAATAAATTAATATTCCTAATTGATTATTCAAAAAAGACTTAAACTATTTCTCGAGGCAATTCTAACTTTCCATAATGGCACTCAGAGCTCATTTCATTAGGCTATTTATTTAAGACAACAAATATAGCTACATTAATCGCTACCATTCAAAGAGGTTATCTGAAGTTAATACAACCCATGAAGTCAAGATTCCCAAACGATCTTTTTTTCCTCTTTGGTGTTTATTTAATTGTTCTTTTGCAGTGCTTATAACATTGGTTAATTTATTTCCGCGACTCGACGTGAATCTTAAAAATGAGGTTGGTGCAACATAGCCGCACCCGAATTTTGGGCCACTTAACTCTGCATTCAATTAAGCAATTCACAAACTGAAAGATGCATTCTAGAAATGCGCTACAAACTTTTCAGCATACGCTTTTTTGTATTTGATTATTTAATTTAAAATATATAAATGTTTTACTCACACTTTTCTGGAACTTAAATTACAAAAAACATCTGCAGTTTTCAAATTTGCAGGATAGAAACATGTCTTTGACTGACGTTTAAAGCGAGAATGTATTTTAGATGAATCTGTAAAAGAAAATATTTAATTAAGTAAGATCTCAATAAGATACTCTCAACTCGAGAAGAAAAGGATCACTGATACCCAATTACATGACCTATGACCCCAGAGCCAGCTCATTGTATTACAACAAGGTGGCGTGTTATTATTCTGGATATTATTGTCTAAGGTCGAGTTTCTCCTCATAATTTAGAATGTTAAATCACATGAAGTTAATTTACAAAACCGTATCATAAGCCGCGATGGCTCAAAGGATAGAGCTTTCGCCTTCCAATGAGGCGAACCGGGTTCGAATCCCAGTCGATACGAATACCGCATTCGGCTTGCACCGACCACAGTGCTGATGTGAAATATCCTCAATGGTAGACGGAGAATGGGTTAGAATCCCCTTGCCGTTAGGCTAACCGTGGGAGGTTCTCTTGGTCTTCCTCTCCGTGTAACGCAAATGCGGGTTAGCTCCATCAAAAAGTCCTCCACGAAGGCAAATTTTTCCCAATACTCGATCCAGGAGTTCCCTTGTCTTCTGGATTGGGTTCAAAATTACAAGGCTACGGAGTTAAACATTAGTCGTAGCCCAATTTCACAATTTTGCCGAATTTAGCAGACCGAATCAGACGAATTCCGAAATTTAGCAGACCCAATTTCGTTGTAAACCTTAAAATTAGGTCGGTTATTCTACGACGGTTATAAAATTATAAAACCGTATCATATTTCAATTTTTTTTAAATATTATTCTTTCCTGTATACTTCTTTTATATAACCTAAATTTATTATTTGCTTGTGAATTTTATGGTAATCATAATAGTTTTCGTTTTGTGTATCTGGCAACTTTTTTGCATAATTAGTTTGTTTATGTTCTACATGGCTTCGTGATTATCTTTGTGTTAAGTAAGAAATAAAACTAATCTTTCTCTGTGAAGTAATATAGATTATGTCACTTTAGAGAATTCATATTTAACGGGCTAGACTTACTCGGAATAAAATGGAAAGAACAGTTGCTAACACAAACGAATGCCACGTTTCATCAGCAAATCAGGATACATACCCACGATGCCGTCGCTGGCAGACATCACATTGTTTGCTTCGAAATAATTATTCGTTCGCAGCGTCCATTACAAATAAGATTGTATGAAAAACAAAAAGAAAAAAAGAAAAGAAAACGAAAAAAAAAGAAGAAAAAAAAAACGCGTAGTACATATCGATTTGTGCGTCTAAAAATTTAGGTGTTAATATTAGCTAACTATTTAATATTTTTTAGTATCAAAATCATGAGTTAATATCCATTTTCAATTTACTTATGCAATTTATTAGTTAATTAGCTCAAAACTAATAAAACAAAAATTTATTAAGAGTAAAATATAACTACAGGCTGGGAAACACGACCTAAACTCTCTGAGCAGGTTGCTTGTAGTGAGGCCGAGAGATCATCCTCAAAACCGAAGAAGATTAGGTGAAATTTGAGTATTCATTTTTTGCAAGTGGCTCAGTGAATAGAAAATTCACCTCTCAATGAGGTCATCTGGATTCGAATCCCAGGGATGGCTGGTTGAATTCCGCACTTGACTCGTATAGACCACAATTCTGATATAAAATATCCTCAGTAGTAGACAAATAACTGGTTAAAGTCCCCTTGCCGTCAGAGTAACCGTGGGAGTTTTTCATGGTTTTCCTCCCCATGTAACGCAAATGCGGATTAGTTCCATAAAGAAGTCTTCCACAAAGGCTAACTTGTCCCAAAGCATAATCCTGAAGTTCTCTTTTCTTCTGGATTGGGTTCAAAATTACAAGGCTACAGAGTTGAGCATTGATAGACGTAATCTCAGATTTGGATCGGTTTTTGAACGCCGGTTATAAAAGGTAGTTAAACAAGCTGCAGTGGCTCAAGGGATAGAACACTCGCCTCCCAATTAGATGACTCAAGTCCGAATCAGACCTTCAGTTCCAGCAGAGATTTAAGCACTTTAGTAAGTCGGAATTTTGACTAATGACTAATTCCATGTAGCGAAGAAAATCTGCCGGCAGCTCTAGAATTGATCCACATTTATGTCATTAAAAACCGATCTTCAAATGAATTTTGAACCATGTAGTTAAACCAAGAATGGTCGGTATTTCTATCTTCGATAGATTCCCTTTAATAACAATTGAACGATAAACTACGTTTGTAACATTCAAGAAACAATTGAAGCTTACATTTTCATCACGAACAGGGCTTTAGTAGATATTTTAATGCTCTAACTTTTCTGAAAGTGGTTAGAATTTTGATTGATAAAATTTCCCTTCAGACACGAAATTTATCAATGAAAAAAGTAGACTATCTTGCCTTCAGTTCAAATCACAATTGACTGTTTCTTTAAGACAGGCATCATTATATAATGTAGTTTTAACAATACTATGAGAAGAAAAGTATTAACTCAATAAGATATTTAAAAGAAATTAAATCATTGCTAGAATTAGTAATTAATAACAGTAGTTTATTGTTAATTCTTCACTTACTTTGTTTGAAATAACCATCCTTCAAAATAAATATATCTGAAAAATGAATAAATGAAGGCATTAATAAATATTTAAAATCTTAAGATATTAGGGTTGTTGTAATATTCAATTTAAATACTATATTCTAATAAATAAAATGAAAGTATATATATAAAAAATTAGGTATACTGAGTATTAGATATACTCAATACTTGCTAAACGTGAATAAAAAAGAAAGTAATTTGAAATATATAACATAAAGTTTCTAACAAAAAAATTGGAAAATAAAGGGGAGAAACAAAGCTAGAAAGAAATAGAATGCGAGAGAGAAAAGGGATGAAAAACAGAATAAGAAAAACCACAGTGGTCGAGAGGGTCAAATCAGGGTAAATTGCATTTCCAAGAGCTACGGAGAGTTGGCGAAGAACTAACGTCGTTAGCATACCACTTTGACATATAATAACTTCTTTTTATAACAGATAACAATACTTAAGGGCAAAATGATAGAGCAATTTGTTCTTACCTCTCAGGCAATCAAAGTCTTTCCCAAGATTTGAAGGCTGGCAAAATTCTGTATGAATTATGCAACTGTCACAAGTATCCATTAGATCGCATATCTCTTTAGAATAAGAGCATCTTCGATATGAACTCAAAATTTCGCTTGCGGTGATCCTAATTAAAGATTAACAACAATTTCTATGAAAATAAAAGCCTCAGTAAAAACTTTTCTTTCTGGGTTATCAGATTTTAATTTTTTATTTATTTCGTACTTATTGCAGCCGACGCCGCTGCTTAGGGTATTAGCTGTGAAAAAATGTAACGACTAAAAACTTGACTTAACGACTCAAACTTGTAGACTTAAAAACATGAAATTATTAAGGCGTGTAGAAAAGTGTAAGTAATTACGATGGAATAAAAATATTAGCATGCGAAAATTTGTTCGAGAATTACCCAAGTCAAAATTCTTGATGGTTTGATGATTTATGTTGATTTCAGTGCGATTCATGATGGGCCAACATCATCTGATGGTCACCATCATCCAACATTTTTCATTACGTGTTTACGGTTTTTGAAATGCCAACAAACTTCCATTATTCAATGATTGAAAATGCTACTTTAATACTATGATGGTTAACCATCAAGAGAAGTTTGACTCTCATGGATCAAAAATCCATGATGGTTTCAACTATACATTTACATGATGGTTAAATGGGAATTCTTGTTAGTTCTCGGGAATATACTATCTAAACAATTTGGGTTTCTTATGTTGGACCATCATAAATCAGTCCGAATTTCTACATTAAGATGATGGTTGTTCATAATCGTTCGAACATTTAATTAAGATAGTACGATGGAAATTCGTGATAGTTCAACATGAACAAATTATCAAAACAAGTTGCTATTCTTATGTTGAACCATCATAAATCAGGCCGAATTCCTGCATTAAGGTGATGGTTACTTTATGATGTTCACCATCAAAAAATACAATGGTTCATGATGGAATTAGTGATGGTTACCATCAAGATTATGTTGATCCATCAATGGAAAACAATCAAAAATCTTGACTTATTAGGTATTAACTGTCAAACTTATTGGAGAAAAAACGATATAGCTCGGTTAGTTGCATTCCTGCGGCATTGAGGCCGCAGGAATGCAACTATAGTGTTAAAATTTGAGGTGCTGAATCGGCAACATTTGTTTATGAACTTAGCATAGAGTTTTCAATTTCAAAATTCTAATTTGGTCGAACGTTATTGAGTGCTTTTTTGGAAATTTTTCTCGCTTTGTTTTGCTTTATGTTACATTTTGTTTTTCTGCTTAAACTCTTTAAGACTTTGAAACTTGAAATTACGAAGATGTGTGGAGAAGAGTACAAGTTGATTGTTAGTTCGAGAATTGTCTGTTAAATTTGTAGTAGAAAAAAAAGAGAAAAAAAATGTGTTTGTCGATCAAGTGTCGGTTGATATATAACTACAGAGTTGAAATTTAATGTGCTGATAGAACTACTTTGTACTATTTCAACAAGAGTTTTTTTTTTTTTAATTGCATTTGATCGAAAGTCACTGCAAATTTAAGTGCTTTTTCGTGATGTTTTTTCCATATTTTTTACTTTAAATGCTGAAATACTGACTAATTATCCATTGTTGTAGAAAATGTTGTATTTTTTCCTTACGAGAAACTTATTTCGTAATTTTATAAATTGGTGCTCAGGTAGATATAAATCAAAAATAGCAATAAAAAAAGAGAAAGAGAGAGATTACGTATTCCCATATATAAATCTTAACATTTATAGTGAAATTGTTTTTAAAAAAAATGTAAAATTACTACTCATTTATCTCTTCTTATTGAGTCACAGTATTCAGGTTAAAAAACTTTTTCAAGCTCAGATGATTATTTTTAGAATCCAGATAATTGTTAATTTCGTTATGATTAACACGTTAGCAAAATTTTCTTATAGAAAGCTAAAATAATTGTAAACTTTGAAACTAAAATGTTCTGTGTTTTTGTGGAAAATATTGACGTTAAAGAAGAAATAAACAATGATGAATGAGAATCAATTACAGGGATTGGAGAGCGAAGCGAGCAGCAAGAGAAGTCTTCCATTCATTCAAAAAATGCGTAGAACTATTTCCACAGAACTTATGCAGTTAAAATAAAATGTTAGTTTAGTTAGATTATACCTAAGTTAGCTTTTTTTCTAACAGCGCATCAAATATATCGCGAAACAAAGTCATATGCATTATTCAGAAACCAGTACCGTTTTTAGCCCTTCTATTATAAGCAATCTCCTTATGTGAGTGTGCCTTTCATTTCTGTTGCAGATGGGGTGAGGCAGTGGTTCCCAAATGGTGTTCCATGGAATCCTAGGGTTCCGTGGAAAGGTTATAGTAGTGCCATGAGTTAAGACTTTTTTTTACAACCAGTATCGTTTTTACAAACCTGTAATAGGTTTGCATCCGACCAGGTACTTTTTATGAAAATATTTACGTAAATTGTTTATTTACGTCGCCAAAGAGCTGCACAATGGGGTATTGGCGACGGATCAGGAAACCCCTGACGATGATCCGCAGACACGCCATCACAATTTCGATCCTCTACAAATGGGATGGCACCCCTGCTTCGGTAGCCCGACTACCTGTGCGCGAAGTCAATAGAACAGTTTACGGTAAAATAGTTTAACGAGGACCAATACTGCACACTCTCTGTCCCTTCGCAGTCTGATCAAAGTGGTCACCCAGCCGCACACTGACAGCAGAAAGTGATGCATGACATCGGTGATCAGCTCGTAGGTTCATTGAAACATTTCGAAATAAATCAGGCTGATTTTTCAATCAATAATACTCTCTAATTAGTCTTAATGTAAAAAAAAAACTCATTATAATAAGCCTACAAATTGTCAGGAATTGTTAGAACTAGAAAATACTGTAGATTATTCAATGGCAGAGATTCTTCATTTATCCTGCAGCAGATCCGCCATACTTTCGGGAACTGGTTCTATAAAAGTTTATTTATTGAACATTTTTGCATATGCACTTAATTACCGACCAAATTGGTCTGTCAGTCTACTGGATGTCGCAGGCTAATTAGAAATTTAAGCTCTTTACCAAAGTCGCCGCTATTCATAGTCGCTAGAAACCCATGAACGATTACAAAGCGTCGACTTTTCATAAACCGCTGAATTTTTGGAAACCAATAGAAATCCGGCGATGACTCATATGGGCATTACGGGATGTCTAGCAACGATGCCATATCTTTATGTATAGCATGGGAAATTTCACCACCAATGTCTATGGGAAGAACGAATTTTAGGCTCACAAATATCTCAGAAAACTAATAATCGATTTCAATGCAGTTAATGGTACTCAATGAAAAAATTATAAGGTGTGGATATAATTTTTCCATAAATAGATATATTTCACCTTTTTTTATTATAAATCATAAAATCAAAATATTAATATAAATTTTTTTTAATGTTTATTTATTATATTTCTTATTGCAAAAGCGAAAAATTAAAATAAATCACCACTTTCTAAGATACTTGTGCCAGATTAACCTGTTTTCCATTAAGAGGACACTATACAGTCCATGGTATATTCTGTTTTACCTGGATCAGTAATTTAAAGTATAGACAAATAGGATTGAAATGATTGATTGATTGTAAATCATGAAGTTTCAAACAATGATAAATTTTTCTCAATAGATCTAAATGCAAACAAATTATGGCAGAATTACTCAGGATTACGCAGTAAGAAAGTAACTATTCCATAATTTGTTTGTTTTTTAAAATTTTGAAGAAAAAAAAATTTTTTTTTCATGATTTGAAGCTTACGATTTACTCTAGGTTTACCTGAACTAACTTTCTCTATACTTTAAATTTTAGATTACTAATACAGATAAAACAGAATTTACCATGAAGTATTTCTCCGGCGGCATAGCATCTTTTTAACACAGCATTAGTTGTAATTTCAAGTTGGTAGTAGTTAGTCTCCGTAAGAGTCACTATAATGAAGAATTCGAAAGCAGTTTGTAATAATTTATGTCTACAAATATGTAATAAGAAATTAATATAAGAAAAGCACATATCAAATTATCCTCGAGAAGGCCAGGGCTCACAGTGGGCTTTCGCGAAAATGATGATGATGACATATCAAATTGATTTACTATGAATGAAATGGAGTATAAAATTAGAAAATAATAACACTTTACTCATAAGCTAAATCAGAAACTATCATACCTATCGATTTCTCTTTCAATTGTAGTTTCATTGGGGCAGAAGCATGCGATTGCATTGTAATCTTTTGCACCAACATCTTTATATCTTTCTGTTATTTGCCTGATCACAAGAGGAGAAGACACCGATTTTGATATAATTGAAAGAAAAAGACCTAACGCACCTAAAATTATTAAGAGAAAATTATAATGTATACCTTTAAAAGTTTTCAATCTAAATATGGATGGTTAATCGTAAGTCTAAGCTAAATGGTTAAATATAGATGATTAACCGTAAGCTAACACAAAGTGGTGCTAGCTGTGAAAATTCGTAATAAGACTTTCGAGTTCCTATTTTTGATTTAGAATCCATTAAAATTAGACTTTTGAATCGGAAAAATAAATATTCAAAAAATTTTTTTTCCTCATAGAAAGCTTTGCAATTTCTTCATAAATGATACTTGAAAAACTTTCCTACTCTCGTCTGCACATTTGCCCCTTTTTTGAGGGAAATAGGGGTAATTTGAAGGGGGGGGGGAAATAAATTTCTTCTAGACAGGCAAGGGATTTTCCGATGTATTTTTGGTTTTCAGGGTGATTGGGGGACAAACACCATTCCCCGAAATTCTACATTACTAGATTAATGAGCTATTGTTGCATGTTAAGGAGGATGTAGATATAAAAAGTTTTTCATTATTCACTTTTGGTAATTTAAACAGTTAGAATATATATATATAATCAGAGACAATATCTCACTTGCCTGTTGTTGTTGTAGGCAACTAAGTCACTGGAGTGCGATTGTTCTTGTTTTCCAATGGCGCCATCTATGGCCAAGAATTCAACATCATTTACAGATCATAATTTTGATCTGTGGATAATCACATTCATCCACAGATCGTAATTATCACCTAAACCAGAGAATGATCAATCTCCAATCCAGTGACCCCAGAGATATAATTTGTTTTGGGTTCATGGAGGACTTTGAGACCCGACAGATTTTACGTACACCAGTCAGCATTTACTGCACGAGAAGTTTTCGGCATGATTCGGATTCGAACTTCCCTTCTCAAGAACGCGAATCCATCGTCCTACCAACGGGCAAATACAATTCTCCTCCAAATCACCTCCCATTTTCCCTCTAAAATGGGTGAGGCTTACAGGGGAGTGTATGGGATTTTCAGTCATTTTTCTCTAATGACATAACAAATCTTTCTATGAAAAAAAATTCTGTTAATTAATTTTTCAGTAGAAACATCCCTTCTTTGCTATAATTACGTTCAACCTTAAAAAACTCGCCATCCTATACTGTTATTGTATTTTTACTGCTGACAATATTGTTTGTGCTACTTACCATTCAATTTGAGATTAATTGAAAACATAAAATAACACAACACTCAAAACATGGCAATCCTTGAACTTTATTGTTATGTTTTACTAATGAATTCCTTAAATCGATTTATGGTTTACGAACTTATAGAATTTATAAAATACGGAAAAATCTTATGATGGGTTAATATACGTATGTTATTGAATTTAATAGCAACAATCTCAATACTAAAGCTTCCAAGATGATAGATACTTAAAATTTCGTAATCAGCCATGAATTTATAATTTAAAATCTTCCTTAAAATTTCTTATATACAGATACACATTTTTCTAAAAACATTGTTTTACCACTCTATCACTTCTGAACCAAACGGTTAATCTACCAAAAGATTACCATTGACGGATTGTATAGCCAGAAAGTAGTCGTTAGATATGTAAAATAAAAGTACATTATTCATGTAGAAAACTAAAAAAAAAAACTTTGATATCCTTTAATACAAAAATTTAAAACTTTCGGTACCTTTTTAAAACTTAAAAGTTTGTTTTTAAATTAATAAAATATTAAATTTGACATGAAAAATTTTGATAACTATCCTCGGCAACATTTAAAATCTTTATCATGTTTTCCAGAAATCAGGAAGAAGAAAAAATTTCACTTGAAGATAATAAATTAAAAGTTATTTAGAATCACAAAAATAATTGCTACTTACAAACGAGGTAATAAATTTTGAAACTTTCTAGCATCTTTTATGAGTAATGATTTTACACTAATTTAAAATCTATGAGTAGTAACTTAGATATACATCAAAATACTTTGAAGAAAACACCTTATTATGAAATGAAAGTTATAAAAAAGGCCGGGGTAAACTGAATTACGTTTTACTCAATGTACGTAATAAATAAATAAAAAAAAAAGAATTATTCGCAGTAGTTCTGCGAAATTAAAATGATTACTTGCAACCAGAATTTCGCAATATTTATTGTCCGGGTTTCAATATAAATGTAGAAACCTAGTCAAAGCTCAGTGGGTTGTGTTTTCTTTTGGAAACTATTTCGAACACCTTGTCTGTTAAATCCGCCTCCATATCTTAAAATAAAATTTAAAAAATATTCTTACAAACTAAATACTCAGGAGATCGTTCTTTAAACTAAAACTTTCAGTTCATGTTCTAATTATTATTTAAAACGAATTAACATTCAACATTTTACGTTTCTACATTTCAAATTAAATTTTGTAAAATCAAATAGATTCACAGGGATCGATTTAGGCATGGCCTTAAAGAGTTGTAGTTTATGGTCACCTCAGCGATTGAAAATAAACTGTGAAAATTTTACAAATCAAATAAAATCTATGGCTATAGAAGTATTTAAATCTGAAATATTCTTTCCTGAGCTTTGTATCTGAAGATAAACAAATGCAATTTTTATTAAAGTTTGAAATAAATGTCAAAATTATAAAGACTAAAGAGTACAAGTACCGGTCATCTCCAAGAAAACTAATTTTACAGGAGAGAACAGCTTAATAAATAAAACTTGTTTTACTTAATGATCGTATATTCTATTCTATTGCAATAACATCACATAATTTTTAATTTAAAAAATAATTAGAACTTGGAAATGACAGGTTTTTGGACAGTACCTTAAAGCGAATACCATACATTATTTTTAACATGCAAAAATATTGATAATTTGTCATTTTGAAATTAAATAATGATTGTATTTTAGTCTATGACTATATATTCATGAATATCTGTGTAGATTCAGAAATCTTTCGGATTATGATAATCTGTGCTGAGCCTCTTAAACATTTCTTCCTAAAAAGACAAAAACTCATTTGATTTATATTGTAAAAACTTCTTTGATGCCAGCAATTTTCTTGTGGTTTATGGCAACTTTTCCAAAATATGCATCCGTAACTGGATAAGATTCCGCTTTTAAGGTACTTTTTTTGTACATAGAAATATTAATTTGCAATAACCACCACAGAAAGGAGATACTTCACCTTCAGATGTAGTATTTTTATAAGTAAAATGGCTATAATGTTATACCTGAAACTGTTATTTCTCTTTCCTTGCTTTTCCATAAAAGCATTTTGATAACACATTTTTGTTATAATGCCCCAGCTACCAGCTTTGCAGACACCTTCTTTACAGTTCATAATTACTTTTATCCCTTTTTTATTCTCTTGCATATATACATTCCAAAAACTACCTTCTGAATCACTCATTGTATGATAAAAACTATCAACAAAATAATTAATTGTTAGGCTATGCGAACAATTATTAAGCAACAAAGTCAGCCATTTGGCGATATATATCCAAGTTTATTTTGAGAACAGGTCATTCTCCAGAATATGTATAGCATATACTGGCAAGCATGTTTTCGAAGGAAATTGAAATTTCAATGCATAAAATATACTATACCAAGTAGAGTAGGATTCGAAGGCTACCGGCAGCTGGAATTACTTTAACCATTCTCTAAAAATTAAAAAATAATAATTGATCAGCAAAATGCAGCCACTGCATTTGCAGAGCTGTAAAAGAACACCAGAAATCATGCTTGTAATGCAAGATAAGAGTTTCCATTTAGTGGTAACTAATCATTGTGAAAATAGTTAAGTTACTGTCCAGCAAGTAATTTTAGGGCGTTAGTAACATTATCAAACAACGCTGAGTACCTTAGCAACAGTTGCAAGCAGATAATGATTTTTAAATTAAGGACATGATAGAATTTTTAATAATTTAATTTTCGAGCATTTTTTAGTTTGGCATCGTAATCCATAGAAAAATTAGCGAACTATAGTTGATCTAAAGTAAGAACTCCCCTCGCCATTCGCCTGGACCCGTGGTGGTGACTATGGTAATGAGGTATAACTATTTCAAGTAGGGGTGTGGGGTCAATGCAGAGGACAGGTTTTTGCTCAGGTCAGAGAGAGAAAGGGAACTTTTTTCTGCTGTCTATTGTGTTAGGCCTAGAGTGAAGAGAAACTACCCTCCCTGAAATGCGCTATTCTTGCTTCTATAGCAGCAGACGGCCTCAGACTTAGAGGCGGGGAGGAGTTCTTACCGTAGACAAACTGTACATTGCTCTACTATTCGCGATCGCAACGCTCGAACAAATCATCTGAGGAAAGACCGGTTCCATGTCTTGACCCTCCCCATCTCTTCTCAGTTGTACAGAAATGTACTACGATATTTCACTTTATCTTTTTGGTATTTAATTACCGAAATTTTTTTTAAAAATTTCCATGACGCTCTCTTTCAGAATTATGTTTAATACAGTTTTAAGTTCCATATAGTTTCCCAACTTAAAAGGTTTTAATCTATTTGAAAATCAAGTCAGAAACTAACTTACTTTTTTCTTCTATGACTGTCCACACGCTAATGGTGAAAGCAAAGTGTTGTCATACATAGAGTTGTGCGCTACACCACATGCATCCCATTTCAACCGCCAATTAATAGCCCTCTATCCTTGCCATCTTGGATAAAAATTTTCAACTGTATTTTCACTACTTATTATTTTTTTATATTTAATAAACGTTTGATAATAAGGAGAACAGCACTTTATAATTTTTACAACTTTTATGTAATTTCCTTTTAACTTTAAAGCAATAAAATAAAGAGATTTATGGTTTTCAATTATTCAAAACTAAACGTTTATCAGTTTCTAGATATTTTAAAATCTAATTTTATTACAGATATAAACTGATGAAAACCGATTAAGATGACACTAGTAAACTTCTTTAATGTCAATTACATAAAAACAGACAACTGTAAACTATTCAACTACCTATCAAACACTTTTGTTAGCAAAATTGTATTGGGATAATTTCAGGGGTAATTGTGAACCCCAGTCGAAATTCCGGAAAATTTCTTGAGTAAAAAAAAAAAATAAATAAATAAATAAAAAAGTTTAAACCGAAAAAAATTTAAACAAGGTTTTTTCCTTTTTCTCAATATTTCCTAGTTTACTTAAAATATATTTAAAATTTTACACATACCTATGATGACCTGGAGAAGCAATTGAAATTTACAAATATGTCTTTCTTTCTTGAGTTTACGATTATAATAACTATTTACTGATAAAAAATTAATATTAATCTTGAATATAAGCTTATAAAGTAGCTCTCTTATAAACAAATAAAATAAACTGCGTTTTTAAGTTCCACCTTTGAAAATTTGATTTCCGAAATCTTTTGTGATCACCGATTTTTTTAAACATCTGAACCTTCGATCTCCGGAAACTTCCGAATCACGGTTAACGAAAAATCCGGATTTTTTCCGGAGCACAATCAGCCCTGTAATTTTGTCAAAGAGAATCTAAAATACCGTTATCTAAAATACTCAAAATGTGTGGCGGTTGGCGGTCTTGTATTTTACATGTATTGAAAGGTACCGCCAAATAGAGTAAATATCTTATCAGTTTATTTATGAAAATTAAAGAGGATTAAAAGCATATTTGGAATTTTTCTCCCCCTCTGATAGCAGAGTTTGGTCGGATCTCTCAATAACTGTCACTAAAGTGTCAAACAACTAGCATGCAACATAAGTTCAAGTCGTGAGAAATATACTACCATTTCTACTTACTTATAACAACTAAACTATTTTCGATGTAAAAATGATGGAAATAGAACAATTTTGAAATTGATGAAAGATTCCTCAATATGCCAAAAAAAAAATATCACATCATGTATAAAACACAATGTTCCTTCTTTTTAACATATGGAATTTAGTAACAAGAATCTATCAATTTAACGAGTGCTTTGTATAAATATAATTTATAAATTATTTTTTTCTTGTGCCAAATATATTTTCTCTAAGGAAAAATGTTATATACGAGTATGCAATTGACTTTTGAGCCAGTTCTCAACTAGGATCATCAGACGGCCAAAATTACCCCAGTAATAGACAGGGATGAGATTAGCCAAAAGGCAAAAAAGCTGAATTTCCACGATAGTAAATTTTACGCAAGTGCAACCCTTTAATCATAAATTCCAGACATTTTAAGGTAATAAATAATGTGTTGACATACAATTGTGTACTAATCTATCATTATATTAATGATTACATTGATACTTAACATTTAGTGAAAATAAAAATTACCAATTGAAAAAACAAAGCTGGAAATTATATTTTTCCTCAGTTCACATGAGAGACAATTATTGCTTGAAAAACTACCTGGTTTAGCAAATTAAAACTACTGAGAATATACATTAATATTTCATTTCTTTTAATAAATACTGTTATGTGATTTATAGCAAATATATAAGTAATATTA